CTGAAAATATACTGAAAATATAAAGATTATAAACACAACAACAAAAGGAGAGTTTTTTTTTTTTAGCATACAGACGCAAGTCATGGGTAAAACAGAAGGAAGAAAGTTGGATTGATATGGTAATAAATTAGGTATTAAATAACGGACAAAAAAAGAGGAGAGGTGGGCAAAAAAAGAGGAGAGGTAGTTGGATTGATATGGTAATTAAATTAGGCATTAATGTAGTTAATTTTATCATTTAGGTAAATATACAATTAATTTAATGGATGTAGTATTGTTGCAATATTTTCAATATCTTGTAGGAGAGACGAAAATTCCCCATCTTAATAACCACCCATATGTAATGCCACACATATCAAAGCAACTACAACTACTAGCTAGCAACAATGGCGGTTTGCATATCCTCAGCTCAGCTCGCACCTTTGTCATCTTCTCTCTCCTCAGAGCTCATTCCACTTAGAAAAGGAGACGGCCTTAAGCCTCTTTCATGGTCTTCTTCCTTTCCCAGCCTTAACCTTTCTGTAAATAACTCTTCGACTGTCAAGCGGAGAAAGGTATTCGTCTGTTTGTGTTCCTTTTCCTTTCTCGTTATCTCCTAATTATGTTGAGTTTGTAGAATTATGTCTGTTTGATTGTTGAATTGAGTTTTATTTCGAGTCGGAGCGGCGAATTTATGTTGAACCTTGAGAATTTTGACGAATTGAGCTTCCCCCTCTCGTGTTATTTATTTATTCATTCGTGGGGTTTGAAGAATTTTCTGCATTTGGGTTTTTCTCTGGTTTTATTTTTTTTTATTATTNTGAGCATTATTTTTGGGGTAGATTAAAATCTATTTTGTGGGAATTGGTTTATACCTAGAGAAAAATTATACTGCTCACCTACAAATTTTATTTTATTTTCTCAAAGTTCTCTCTTGATTTGTGGTTTAACTTTTTAATCGGGGTCCTAAAATTTCATTATTGATTGGTTTATGAATAGTTCATGTACGGTTTTGTTTTTTATGTCTTATTTTCATCTTTCACAAAATTTTCAGAAAGTGTAGTAAACGTGTAACCTCAAACCTGGGCCCTTATCTATGTTAACAGAACTGTGGATGACATGTAGTGGTCTCTATAAAATTTTCCTTAGTTGCTACAATCTAATGTTTTTATTACTCAGAATGAAAGCTAATGTTATAAATTGGATGCAATATTCTGTGATAATTTGGATGCATTTGATATTGCATCATTTCATTATTATCTGTTGATGAAATAAAGATATGGCTGCATTTTTCCTAGAGTTCTTGTTTTATGCAACAATCCTCAATTATTAGCTTCTCAAGACTGAATCTTTTAGATGTTAGAAGAAAATGAATTATACACAGGCAATGTTCATCTCTAAATGCGTTTTATCCATAATTTGATTTCCCGGCAGTTTTTTCCGGTGTAGAAGATAATTTCATCTTTTCAGTACAAGTAGTAATATCTCCTTTCTTTTCATGTGTCCTCTGTATGGAATTGGGTATATATATTCAGGGACCAACTGGCCATAATCTCTGTATCACATGCTAATGTGGATCGATTCCAGACATGAACAAAGTAGGACTAATCACACAAATCTGGGGAAGTTTGCCGTATCTCCTTGAATAGTTTCTTTGAAG